ACTAACTTTATTTATACTGGATAGCTCTATTAGTTCTAAATTGTTCTTCCTAGAGGTCCAGTAAGGATCATCTCTTATTGATCCAGTGTTACTACAGGAGGAAACCTAAACTAAACGAACTTTATTCACATTGGCACTAAAAAATAATTATTTCCAGTTCTACAAAGGTTCGTGTAGAATGTGAAAGAGCCAAATCACATTTACACAACAAGACCCTCTGTAGAGCGTTAACTCGCTGGGGCTATAGTCCTATACAAATACGCACATTACCGTGTATAATACATACATGCAGTACACAACTATTCCAATTAAGATTTAAGGTTGTCCCAAGCTAAGCGGAAAAGTCGAATACGAGCGCGAAAGGCTTGAAGATTAAACTTTTCAGTTACAGTTTTGTTCACTCTGTTTTGAGCTATATCAACATATAACAGTGCTCTGTCTATAGGTAAATACCATGTTATGATATTGTTATTATCCCACTGACTTGCATTGTGCCGCAATTGCAATTATGCACCCTACTTTATTAGTTTAATGTTATAATGTATCATACCAGTCGATTTTGCTTGTCAAGGGGAGAGTGCTGCCGCTCTCAAATTGGCTAGGTTTGTATTGCAGGTAGGTGGCTCAGTTTTAAAGTTTCTGTTAATATAATGACCCCAGTTCAGGATGTTATACAATCAGACACAGTACTAATGCGGCCTACAAATAAAACTTCCGGCCTTTCCGCCCGCTAGGATTAAAGTGCGTTTTAAAACGTTCAAAATAAAATACTTTGGGGCTTTTGGGCTCAAAATACTATCAAAATGAAGAGAGAAGTGAGACAAATCCACTGGTATACGGCCGAAAAAGAGAAAACCAACGATACCAAAGTTATCAAGGATCAAACGTACTGCATGTTTTATAAATAGTTTAGGGACCGGTCATAAAGTAACTGCTAGGGTGGGCTGGAGTGATTTGGGATGGACCATGAAAAATCTTTGGGCACTTTCGATGGGCCGCCAATTTTTTGGTATGTTCACGGTTGGGCCACCAAACAAAAACCCATGCATGTCTACTTCAAAAAATAAAGATATTAATTATAAAAGTAATATCCAAATTATCAAATGCAAATGACGCTATTGAAGCCAGTACTTTGTTTATACAACAACAAGTATTGGTCGATCGAATCACAGCGAATACAACCAACTGGAGAGCAGCTCAGTATCAATGTGTTGGTCAAGTTTGGTGGTCAAGCTTGGTTGGTCAGGTAATAATAGTGATGATTATTATATTAACTGATTCATACCGTTCATAGATCCTTTGGAATAAGAGTCTCCTGTCGAATGAGAACCTGCGAGTAATTTAAAAGCACGTATCACAACAAAAACATGATTAAAGGTGCTCTACAGTCCCTATGTAAACAAAGCCTTTGTTTACATTTTTGTGTCCAAAATATTGAGCTTTATTCGACAATTATTTATATTTTCAAGCTTCTAGAGTATAATAAAAAATAATCAAGAAACAACAATCAGGCTTTTCAAGAACCCAAAACATAGTTAAACTGTTTGTATCATAAAAAGTGGGCTCCTTTAAGCACATGCGCAGATCGGACTGTAGAGCACCTTTAAAAACATAGATACAAACGCTTATGACTAAAACGTCCTATGGACTGTAATCAAGAACACGCCAACTCATCGATTCCCTTGATACCTCTTTAAAGAGCCATAGAAATAACGCAACAACTTAAAGTCCCCTACAAAAGAACATTTATTTTCCACGTTTAAAACTAAAGCTTAGCTACTACCAGCTTTTATGAATTATATTCAAGAAAAATGTTGCAAATAATTCTGTTGAAAACACACACGGTACCTACAAAATCTGCACAGAAATATATGGTCTTCTAAAATCGGAAATGTAAATTGCAAACTAATGTATAGTCAAAGTCTGACCGAGTGACCGTAACCAAACAATTACCTGAGCTTGAAGCTTCACTTGAGATTTCATTTGGCCTTCTATAGTTCGAGCTGTCTTCTACCATAGCTGCATCAGGCACTTGAAAAAACGGTTGAAACAATTAAACATATAGGTAATAAGCGTATAAAATATTACTTTCACCACGAAAATATAAAACCATGTAGCAGTTAATAAAACAACACAGTTACAGAAAACAAATCAGTACTCATTCTAGTCAGTGCTGTCTGCATCGACATCTTCACTAGTGAAGACATCTCAAAATATCCTTTTTCCGTGAACTCTTAGAGTGATGAAAACAATATTTTACGAACGAGCGCAGCGAGCGAGTAAAATATTGTTTTTAACACGAGAAGATAAAAGTCATATCTTCAAGTATATAGTCCCAAGTAAAAAATTGCATAAATACTAAAAGTCGCGTGATCGATATCTTCACTAGTGAAGATATGGAAAATATCTCACTGTGTATTTTTCAGTATCTCACTCTCTACTACAAAATAAATAAGCTTATCAGGAGATACTTTACCATAATTTAATTTGTTTACCTGTACTTTAATTCTTACTTACCTGCCTATTATAATTGTCAACCACAACTTTACCCATTCTGATGTTGTGTAGGCTGCGAGCGGCTCTCTTTGACAACATTGGGTCCGACAGGCGACAAGACAAAACGTTTGTCTTACTAAATCTGTATTACCCGTATTATATTAGGGAGCTTAAGCAAACGACGTTTTTGTCAACATGGACGTCAGATTGCTGAGGTGGGACTGGATTAAAAACTGTGTTTGTATCAGTTTGTCTGTTTGTGGTAATCTTCAACACATATGACAAAACATAAGGTTTTTAAAGTTTTTTGCTTCCTTACATGAGCGCTATGATGCAAAACGCCTCCAATATTAGTGATAGCAATTTTCAGATGACGTCCGTCCGTGTTGACAGAAACGTTGCTTGCTTAAGCTCACTAATCCCTCGATAGTCCTAACCCAGGCTTGGTCCTAACCACAGCAATGACGATTATCAACTAACGATTTCAAAACTGGCAAAGTAAAAATGCCTTTAGCATTAGCCACTTACCAGTATTGAGCCAAATTTTTACACTCTTTATGTCAAACACCTTGGACGAGCGTTTGTCCGACCGGCAAACTGCAGGGGATTTATCGTTGTAGAGTCTCTGAAGGTCACTAAGCTTCCAGAAGTGGCGGTGTCCACAACGGTCTGAATGGCAATGGATCTCATGATGACGAGAACACTTTCTTTCTTCTTTACCAAAGCAGCGGGTACATTTCACTTCGAGGTCATAGCTGGTCATGCTGAATAATAGTTGGTCTGGGGATTTAAGGTCGTCCAAACACTCTTTCAGAGTGGCTAGGAGATGACTGGCAAACTTGAAATGGTTGCCATCCTGTTTTGGAAAAACGGCAACCTTAATGAACTCCTGGAGGTCGATTAAACAAACATCATACACGTCGCCGTCTATAATAAGCGGAAGCAAGGAGTAGTTGCAGTAGAAGGACACGCCAGCTTGTTGATTGGGGAAGCGCTTTTGCCACTCAGAAATTAATTTCACTTGAGGCTTCGTAAACAGGCTCATCGGCACAAGTTGGCGAGGAAATGTCACAAACAGCGATGGAACATTTAACTCCATTTTGCTAGCTTCCAACTCCATTCCTGGTATCATAGCTGGGGCAACTGAAGGGACACAAAAAGCTGCCTTTCCATCGTGCTGGCAAGGACAAATCAAGTTAAACTTTTGCATAAGCTCCTTTAAAAGTTCTGCGTCTTCCAGCGTCTCAAGATATTCTTGAAACATAATGCCTTTCTGCTTGAACACATCAAGAGCGTGCCTGGACAAGGCATCCAATTTGCCAGGCATGGAGATCACTTTGGTAAAGCGATTCATTAACCAGGGAGGATCCAATACAACCTTGCTGGATCCACTGTGGTGTACGACCACTCCTTGGCGGTGTAGAAATTTGATAGCATGATCAAACTCCCCAACGCCACAGGCCTCCGCTTCTTGCTTAGCTTCGTCAACTGGGATATACTTGCTATCTGGTGATAGCTTCTGGCTTAGAGCAGCTTCAAAATCTAGCCACTTCACAGGCATTAAAATCTCCTGGTTAAGTACTCCATTCGACAGGTCAAAAAGCTTTCTACGAAGCTTTCGCACGTCGTCTCCGTCGTCGCCTTCCAATGTACTGTCGATCAGGAAAAACTCTGGGACAACATTCTCATATTTTCCTCCAGACAAGACCTTCTTGATTTTCTTTTGTACGCAATGTATTTTGCTGTCGTTGCCTTTCACCTCATCACTGTGAGTTAAGGCTATTAAAACTGGTGGCAGTTTAAAGTTCTCACCCTTTGCAGTGGTAAAGTGACCAGATTTATCAGGAAACTGTTGATCTTGGCATTCTCCTAAACCTTGCAGGAACTTCAACCATGATGTAAAATTATCTAAATTGGTATTTAGATGAGGATTGTTCATCTCTATCTCTTCCTCTTCATTACTTGTTTTAAATTTGGAAACAGCGGATTTATCAAGCTCCAGAGAAAGGTCGTGAACCAAAACATAAGGGCAATGCGGTTTCACAAAGCAGCCATGGGTATCGTAATAGATTGACTGTCCAGCAAAGTCACTTACAAATACCCGAAGAACTTCGTTCTGATCGTGTTCAGTGGACCTCTGCGATTTGATTTTGGAGATTTCTTCTCTTGATAATGGCTTCACTGGCATCACTGGCTTCACTGGTATCACTGGCTTCAATGGCTCTGGCGCATTCCCTTCTAAATTCCTCTGAATGTACTCGGCAGTTTTTTTGTATAACACAGTCTTTGCCTCACTTTCACTGGTCATAAACTTCTTCACTTCTCTCTTTTTCCAGGGATCTTCTGCATTTTGTTCTGATAGCTCGATAACATTAACGTCAATACCAGCGGTACTGGGTTGATCTTTGTCGAATGGTAATCCTAAAAGACGTCTCATCAGCGAAGTCTTTCCGCCTCGGTCTTGCCCGACCAGCATAATCGGAATTCGATTATTTTTTGCTTTACTTTCCTGGAGAGCTTGCGAATATGCACGGCTATATTCTTCCTCTTCGATATCTTGACAAAAAAGTTAAAACAAGATTTAGCACACAACATAAAATTAAACCTCCATCAAATCACTCTGTAATCTGTATGTTGTATTGCTGCGTTTTGCGACAATTACAAGTATAGAACTCTAGGCTCTGTGCGGCTAGAATCTGACAAGATGGAAACACCGCACGAATAATTGTACTGTTGCTTGAATATATTTGAGCTACAGTATTGCTGAATACCTTTGTGCAAAGCGCGCAAACGTGTGCAACTGCTGCAACATAGTCAAATTGCGAAACATTTACATAACTAGAATTTGGAAGATGCCCAAAAACCAGAGTTATATTCTGACAAATGCTTTCTCAAAACAATAGTCTTTGGCGTTTTCAACCCGACTGTGCAACCCGACTGTGCAACCCGACCCCGCGTTTTCTACCAAGTCACCTTTAATCCTTTCAGAAATTATTTAAAATTTTGTGAAGAAAAGTAATCTAAAATCGACAGTATATAAGTAATTACTGTATCATGTGAGAGTTTGGATATCGGACACAACACGGCTGCTCATGTTGTAAATGGCTTGTGAATCGTCTTGATGAGAACATTCGTATTCTTCAACAATTTAAAATAAATTAATGATATTTGGTGAGAAAATTAAACTTAAAGTTTATGTAAATGAGTATGATTTTGTATCAGATATACACATTCCTTCACGCTCATGCTTTCTTTTGTGTTTTCTGTATGAATTATTAATGAGTTTTACAATCCAGGAAAATAAGACAACTTTATATACGACCTCAATCTAAACTTATTCTTTGTTAAAAACTCTCCTACCTTTTCCACGTCCTCTGCTTTTTGAACGAGGTGCTATCGTCGGTTCAGTAGTAACGGGCTTTTCATCATTCGGCCTCACTGTTGAGCCGGTTGGCTTTGGTTTGGAGCCAACAGGCTTATCCTCACTTCTCTCAGTCTCTTCTACATCTTTCTCGGTCGTACAAGGGAAGTACTGGAGCATTAACTTTTCATAAATATCCAGGTTTTGTTGTGTAAATACGCAAAAAATTATACGACCAACCTAGGATTGAAGCAAGGACTTTTAATCTTTTCCCTTTGTTTATTTTGTTTATTAAGTTTCTCACTCGTTGGTGAGCGGATTTCTCAAGAGGCTATTGCTAAATTGATAGGGGATCCGAGGTACCTACGATTTTAACGTCCTTATCTGAGAAGACGCGAAAATCTAACCATTTACTGATGTCAATGTAAAGGTAGCACTTTCTCCTCAATTATTTTAAGATCTTGAGTAGAGGCCCGACCAAGGATTGAATCCATGCAGGTCTCCCAAGAAGCTTGAAAAGCAAGCGTGGTGATCACGACACCACAAAAGCTGGTTACTGTTGAAATGACAAGTCAAATACTTGTTCTTTCAAGTTAAAAATATGTTAGGTTTTCCTTTTGTTGGGCGAGAAGTTAAACAGCTCGTCAGTTTTTTGCGATATTGCCCACTTACATGCGAATAATCAAACAATTTTATTACATACCCAATCATCGTTTTCTTCCAACCACGTTTTAACGGTTTTCAACGCAACATGAGCAGCCTTTATTCTCGGGTACTCTAGAAACAATTTTTAAAACTAGCTTTACTTTAACTGTATCAATGTTTTTATTGTTCTTCCTAGAGGTCTAGTAAGGTCCAAAGGGATAAAGCTTTCATATGGAAAATTGTATCCCACTTGACTGAGATGCCACCTAGCGCAAGGTGAGATCTCGCCTAGCCGGGTTAACTCGTTTCTCATATGAACACAAATTGAATTTTATATGCGTAATACCATGATGAGCTCGGGTTCTTTTGTTCTCGCCGGGTGGTTTAATCACGATATTCCCGGCTTAGCGGGGAGATATCTAATTCTCCCGGCAAAGCCGGGCAGATTTCTAATTTCTCTCTGATTAAAAGTCATGAGCCAAAATTCAAAGACACGACAAAGAGTTTTCTTAATAGCTTTTACACAACAAACAAAATAATTACACTACAATGTTAATGACAGTAAGATAAAGTGTTAATTACTCGACTTATTAATATTCACTTTTCACTAAACATTAACATCTAACGCACTCGAGCTTAAGCAAGCAATTCTCTGGAAGGTGTAGCTCTGTTGCAGAGGTTCCGGCTGCTTAGTTTACTCGGCAAGCCGGCTTACGATGAACTCCATTCTGCGCAGCTGTCTTCTCGGTAGAAGAGACTTTCAGCCATCCCAGCATCCCGACTTGACCAATATCAGTCATGCCGAGAATTAGCCTCTCCAAGGACAGAGCTAACGTCACACCACAGGTGGAGACGGAATTAATAAAAAACACCGAACGAATAGTAACATGAACGTACGAGATATCTTACCTGGTAAGCATACTAAGCCGAGCACATCTAACTATATGCACCTACCGACCAAAGGGGAACCAAAGAACGCTGGATAACGCAGGATACCAATCTAAAAGAAATCACCCGGACTAGCCGGGGAGCAAGCCCGACGAGCGGGTGCGGCATAATGCAAATAACGAACACAACACCGGACATTGCTAGCAAAGTTGACAAATAGGACTACCCCCACCATTTACGCTGTGCCAAGGACACACACAATACTATAAACGTAGTAAATTTTTAACGGAGTGCTAACCAAAGCGTTATAGTGTAAACGCGGCCTAATGGTGAGGGGACAAACAAACGAACGTACAAGCAAACGAACAAATCACGAAATTAAATATGCTGATGCACAGATACACACATCGGCAAGCAGCCGAACACCCGGCAAGCAGCCGGACGGGGAGGGGTCAATAGCCCGAGATCGAGGAAACAGCCAGAGGGGGGGGGGGGCAGGCAGGCAGCCCAAGGGGCCGGCAAGCAGCCGGAGGTAGGCCGGCAAGCAGCCAGCGAGCACAAGCAAGCAGCCTGAAAACAAAAACCCTTCGGAACGGGACGAAAAACTGGGAACAAAAACCCTTTGGAATCTGGACGCCTTCGGGCTTCGCCCTCATGCTTTCCCTCGGGACTTTCACAAACCTCCCTCGGTTTGCGGGAGATTTAATCACTATATTCCTAAAAACCATGGTATTACTTATAATTAACAAAGGGCATGCAGATCTCAGGCGGGTGACTTTCCCGATTACCTACGCTCATATGAACACGTCTTTAAGTCCTCACCATTGAAATGAATAGAACTGGAACGCCGTACCCAGAGTCCTTCTTACGCGCGTTCGACCGAGCGCGACGAGGGGCTCTGGCCAAATCCATAACCGGATACCATAAAAACATGGTAAGAGAACAATATCCGGTATTAGAACTATGGCCAATCAGATGCCAGTTTGATATGGATTTGGCTAGGCCCCTCGTCGCGCTCGGTCGAACGCGCGTAAGACGGCCTCTGGGAACGAGAATGATTTCGAATTTCCAGTTGGAGGTAACGTTCCAGTTATATTCATTTCAATGGTACTCACCAGAGTATATTCCAGTAGATATACAGCAAAATGCCTGAAGAACAAAAAATATGATCATTGCATTAAAATGCTTTATCAAGGAAAGAGTGAAATACTGTATTCTAGCTACAATATACAATAAGCACGTCCACTATCTACAATACTGTAGTAATCCCCATACTCCTCTCTGTAGTAATCTCTGTGATGGGCTAATGGTAAATCTAAGAAGACACTCGGGGGTTGTGCTTTTTCGCGTGCTGCTCCCAAATTTTGGATTTCTCTTCCAGTGAAAATAAGAGAACTACAGAACATTACAACTTTTAAAAATAGTGTTAAGACATTTTTATTCAGTAGAACTTTTCAGTAATTGATTAGTATAGGTAATAGCATGGTTTCGAGTGCAATTTGGATATAACATGCACGATCCAACAATCCAACTAGATTGGATAAAAATCCAACTAGATTGAACCAACAATCCAACTAGATTGGATAAAATAAAAACTAAACAAAACAAATGTATTCGTGCAATCTTTTTCTCAAGAACAAACGAAAATGTAACGGCCTATTTTCAACTTCTCGAAATACTGAAACTTGAAAATATCTTTGACCTGAAAATATCATCTCTTGTTTATAAAATAATAATTCGGAAAACAGAAGTTGCTAAAGCCTTATTAAATTTAACTATGGAAGCATCTGATGTTCATAGTTATAACACCAGATATGCCTCCAAGCAGAACCTATATACAGACCAGCTTCTAGAACAAATTATGGGCTAACCCGATTCAAAACAAAAGCTTCCAAAATATGGGAAAAAATTCCTATACAGATTAAATCTTTGCCATTTTATAGTTTCAAAAAACAGTATAAAATGTTTTTACTTAATAGTCAAGTAGAGTTACATGACAGATTTGACTAGACTTACTGTATATGTTATTAAAAAAAATGATATTATAGTAATCTCATATATAAAATAAGTTTTGTAAATTATACTATACACTTAGAAACCTTAGCAATAAATACTATAGAGATAAACTTTTTTTAAATTTAGTTTTAAATACTCAAATATAATCTCATAATGGTAGTGGTCAACTCGAAAGCTTCTGCTCCTTTGACCACTACGCACTCTTCATCTGTAAATACATATTATGAAATATAATGTAAATATATATATACTATACTAGTAATACATAATCTTGTAAGAAAGAAATAAGTGCAAATAAAACTGATTCTGATTCTGAGTGAGTTTTTCAAAGACCTCAAAATAGCACGAGTCTGAAGGACGAGTGCTATTTGAGGTCTTTGAAAAACTCACGAGTGCATGTTTATCCAAATTTCACGAGAAACCATGCTATTACTTATTAATAATTTACATAAAAATGTTCGAGACAATTGTAGTTTTAACTTACGCGTTTAAGCGAACATTCCACCGGCAAACTTTTCCTGGCTTTGTTATATCACATTATGCAACGCTAACAGCTTGAAAGAGGGGGGTAATGGGGTATTTTCGTGCTGCGTATTGGGGTAATTTAATTATTCGTTCTTCGTTCAGTCATCTTTTTATTAAACGTTTTTCGATCCCGACATGGATGCCGTGTATCGTGCTTGCGGTGTATTCAATATCCGTTCTCCGTTTTCAGCTGTATTTAAAGACGGTTATTTCTCGTTTCTGGACAATATATTCCATTAATTTTGTTTCTGGATTTTAGCTATGTTTTGATTGGGGTCTGGGGAACGGAGGTTTCAAAGTTTATATAAATCATGAACATCGACGCAATTGTAAACAAATAGGTGAACACACCGCCTAGTACAGACTGTTTATATTCACCTTTAAGACTTCTAAGTATGATTGTTGCTTACATTTCATGTTCACTTTACATTTCAGATTCGTAATAAATTTATTTTACGTGCTTCAGGACTTCTTTTATTTTTCATGCTTCAAGATCGCTGCATATTATTTTTCGTGCTTCAGGATCGGTACCCCCCCATTACCCCCCTCTTATGTAAGTCGCGACTTATTTTGTCCTGTGTAAATGGCCCTATTATTCCATTTATATTTGTCTTTTATACAGTGTAACTATAGTATTTAAATGTGTGTGTATATAGTCTAAACATCCCATTTGGCCAAGTGATAGATTCACGACGTCTATATGACTATATCACTGTCGCTTGTGCTTATAAAACCCTCCATTATTTGAGTCTCCTTGTCGCGTTTATCAGTCATAACTGCCAAGATGTAGTTAGAAAATACTCGCAAGACAGGATATCTTGCTAAAGATTGGCAGATGATGTGCCATATGTTTAATGAAATTTGATACAATGGACCATTTGCATTATAGACTAAATTTTGACCTAGACAAAAATTTCTTCACAGCTTGAAAGAGCATCACAAAATTAGTAATATTCCAAAGTTTCGTTGCGAAATGTTGTAAAATGCGGATAATATAGCCTTGCGAAATTTGCAATTTTCAGTCATTTTGTATCACAAACGGGAAATTGATGCCCCAACACCCGATTGGGCTGTCAATTTCCCATGCGTAATACAAAATGACTGAAAAATGGCAAACTTCGCATGGCTATAATAATCCGCATTTTACAACATTTTGTGACGAAATACTAATTTTGTGATGCTCTTTCAAGCTATAATGAAATTTTTGTCTAGATCAAAATTTAGTCTATAATGCAAATGGTCCATTGAGTAACCATAATTTTAAAGAAATTTGATCCAACTGAGTAACCAGACTTAATAATTTAACATTTGTAAATATTATTTCTGATAGAACCACCGTGTTTAAATAAAAATTATCTAATCTAATCGACACTATAAGCCAAGTAATCAACATGTTATTCAGCAGGCCTTACAGCAGCTTTGTCTCAGATTTCAAATTTTAACCTGTGAACGGGCATACTCATTACGGGCTGTTGGCCTGCGGAGGAGGTAGATTGCTACTAATATATTTACTAGTAATTGGTACACTGATTGTGATTCCATACAGGAACTGTCTGGGCAGTCTGATTATAATAAGTTGACGTGACGAAAGTTGATGTGACGCCATACGGAAGTTGACGTGACGCCCAGGGCGCATGAGGGCGCAATGAGACTTACCCCGTTCCCAATTCCAGGGCGCATGGGGACGCAATGAGACTTAATGAGTTAAAAACAAGTGAAACCGGTCCTATTAAATACTGCCCGGAGCGCCTGGAAGCGCCCAGGAGCGTGTGAGAATGCCCGGGGATATGTAAGATAGTATAAATCAGTGCACGATCCTTTTTGGGTCTCTATGAGGCATTATATTAATAAAAAATAATATTAAAGTGATTTTCAACCAGCCTAGCAACAAGCGGTGAAGCACGGTTGCCCATGCAGGAAGATGTGCGGAACATGAGCTTATATTTATTATAGATGTAAATATTTGCTGTTATTAAATTTGTGCACTGATTTATGCTATCCCCATGCATCCCCGGGCGCTCCTAGGCATCCCCGGGTGCTCCGGGCAGTATTTAGTAGGACCCAGTCAGGGTTTTTTTCAGAGATTTTTTAGGGCCGTTAAACGGCTCCAAAAACTCAATCTTGAATTGAGTTTTGAAACTCAAACTTCTCACCAAAGTTTCAGTGCAGTAAAAATGAAGTTGTTTGAGTTAAATTCGTGACGTGTGAAATTAGTTTTCAGTTGGAAACCCGACAATTAAGAAAAAATGGCTGGAATTCATCTCACAACACAAGAAAAACTATGCATTCACCATTATTTATTGAGTACAGGTGTCAGTCCCCCGGTAGGGGGGTGGGGGGGGGGGTTTGCAGCCATCCCAGCTGTTCAGCTAAACTCAATCTTTTCTGCAAAAACGGACCCAAGAGAAAATCCTGAAAAAAAACCTGCCAGTGAAACAACTGTATAATAATGAGAAGATTGAATTATTGTTAAGCTGTCTAATAAGCACACATTGAAGCACACATAACATTGAATAAGCAGTGTATCAAATCCAAATCTTTCAATGGTCAACAGTGTCAAACCTAATTAATTAACATTCCTGGGGGGAGGGGGTGGTTAAACTGCAGTTTTACAGTAAAATCCCAACCCTAAGGCCAATGGAATTAAGGTATCAGTTTAACGTCACCTGCCCACTTGTGTTACTGGCAGCCGCGTGAAATTTTCATTATTTCAATATTTTTTCATTATTTGTCAAATTTGTATGGCAAGTGTTTCAAAAATGGCTTTCTGTTGAAATTATTGGCAAATACTGACTTTGTTTATACAGTTAGCGAAGCCATAGGCATAACCTGCATAGCGAAGCCACAGCGAAACAGAGTCAAAGACATAGCTGATAACTCGGAAGCTAGCAAAAAGCTCAAGAATGGATTTTTTCGGTCGAAATTCGGATTTTTAGCTCAAAATTTGACAAATTCAAATCGTGAAAAATAGTAAATAATCCTAACTAGATTTCACAAGTTGTACATTTTGCAAACTGCAGATTTAGTGTTGCAAACTATGGTATAAAGCCAGCCCTTTAAAAAGAAATACTAGACAAAAGTGTACTGGGTGGCCAAAAAAATCTCTCTTACACTTAAACAAGAGGCATTGTATGCAGTAATGTCTAACTTAAATTTTGGTATTTACCATGTGCATTTTAATACAGTATTGACTGAGATAACTGTATTTAAATTTGAGTTAACGTTTCCGGAAATGTCGAAAATTAGTAAAATTAAAAACGGCCTATTAATGTTAATACCGCAGTAACCTGTGCGTAAGTATACTGCAGTCAAAAAGTATTCGTTTTATAGATAAAAATGCTATTCATTAGGAAATTAATGCAATTTCTAGCTTGCCCATGTGAGAATGCAGTCGAAAGAATTTCAGATCATCTGGGGATCCAGGTTGTGACACGCTGTTACAATTGCCTCACAAGGCTCTCTCGAATTATTTGGTCGTTGATCATGTGGCACATTCCAAATTTGACGCTTCAAGTACCCCCAAAGAAAAAAATAGCACACTGTCAGGTCAGGAGAACGAGGGGGCTAAGATGAATCACCCCGTTTACTCATTAGTTGGCCAGTGAAATTGTGCCCGAAGATATTGAATAGTTGCGTTACTGGTTGTCAAAATTAGTTTAATAGGCCGTTTTTTGCTAATTTTCGACAATTTTGAAAATATTTACTTATTTTCAAACCCAAATATCTTGGTCAAAACTGTGTTAAAATACACATGGCATATGTACCAAAATTCATGTTAGACATCACTGGACTAAATGCTTCTTGCTTAAGTGTAATAACTCTTGACTATTAATTAAATTTCAAGTTATACTGAATCAAAGAGGAGTAGTTTTTTTTGGGCCACCTGGTGTAAACATTCCAGTCTGACTGCCAGCTTCAGCACCCTTAAAAAATACACACATTAAAGACTTAAGTTGTAATATTTATTTTGTTTTAACAGTTCGAGCATCAGATGGAGTCAGTGTTATGAAGCTATCGACCTCTGTTTTAAGTGATGATTCCAACTTTGAGAAGTATGCTCTTTTTTTCAGACAGATTAGTATCATATTTTTAATGCAAACCTTTAAGTATTTCAAATACTTCACAAGTAGGTGTGGATTCCAAATTCTTTGGTATAATGCGGGAGTGGGGTATGGGGGGGGGGCTTGGGGGGCTCCTGGAATATGGTAGTCAACAACCATCAATATGTGTCAGATAATGTATGATGTAGAATGTGTTGTCTTGTACATGCCTTGGGCTTGGTATTAAACATTGCCACAACCCTTGCTGGCTTTTAAATTTTTTAATTCAGCTAGAACTTCGTCCTCAGTAATTTCTACAAAGTCAAATGTACATTCGTTGTGCTTTATGTAGTCGGCATATTTTACATTTGTAGCGGGAATTTCTCCTGATATTTTCTCTCCGATCTCAGAGAAATATTCATTAAATAAATTGGTAATTTCTTCCTGATCATGAATAGGTACACCGTTATGATCTATATTTAGTATATCGGTTGTTTTTGCTCTTTTCCCAATCAACTGATTTATACAGCACCACATTTCTCTTGGCTTGTTCTTAGTAGTTACTATTTTATTTCGAAAGTATTCAGATTTAGATTCCTTTATAGTTTTGTTGACTTTGTTCCTTTGTGTCTTAAATGCTTCGTGATAATGTAGAGAATTGTGCTTAATTGCCTTTTTTTTAAGTAATCACTGTGGTACATCCAGGGCGCATATTCACTCATGTCTTTACGTATTCTAGTCGGTTACGTATTCTAGTCAGTTACGTATTCTAGTCGGTTACGTATTCTAGTCGGTCCATTTCTGGTCTGACTATGAGCTAATCCCAACCGGAAATACAATTTCAAAACGTCAAAACAATGCGACGTTTCTATCGTATGACTCTGGAAATGCCAGAAATCGATTCTAAAGGTATATATATATATATATATATATATATATATATATATATATATATATATATATATATATATATATATATATATATATATATATATATATATATATATATATATATATATATATATATATATATATAACCTATATATATGTTTGCGGATGTTACTCTGAGTGCATATCCACACCGGGCGAGCTTGAAAAGTATGCCCGGCCACGGTGGGATTCGAACCTACGACCTTTGGAATACTAGCCCAATGCTCTTCCAACTGAGCTACGCGGTCAGGACGGTTCGTGTAAGTGATATTTCGGAACAGTATCTATAGTTCCTTCAATACCAATGTGTTCTAGTAATATGAATTTTTTTTCTGTGTTGGTGTTGTGTACTCAGGTGAATAATATGTTTGCGGATGTTACTCTGAGTGCATATCCACACCGGGCGAGCTTGAAAAGTATGCCCGGTATTATTCGTGTGTGTGTGCATATCCACACCGGGCGAGCTTGAAAAGTATGCTAGTATTCCAAAGGTTGTAGGTTCGAATCCCACCGTGGCCGGGCATACTTTTCAAGCTCGCCCGGTGTGGATATGCACTCAGAGTAACATCCGCAAACATATTATTCACCTGAGTACACAACACCAACACAGAAAAAAAAAACCCCTATATATATATCTTGAAAAGTATGCCCGGTATTATTCGTGTGTGAGTGCATATCCACACCGGGCGAGCTTGAAAAGTATGCTAGTATTCCATAGGTCGTAGGTTCGAATCCCACCGTGGCCGGGCATACTTTTCAAGCTCGCCCGGTGTGGATATGCACTCAGAGTAACATCCGCAAACATATTATTCACCTGAGTACACAACACCAACCAGAAAAAAAAACCCCCCTATATATATATCACCTATACGCGTTATTTTTGACGTCATCCGGCTACATGAGCTCCTTATTGGCCAGATATAGCGTGTGGCCCGCATGCTACATTTTTCAAAATGAAAGCTAGCTAAAATTATTGGGGGGGGGGCGATCGTCCCCCAGCCCCCCTAGTTTCCGCCACTCTTTAAAACGTTCACCTTGCAAGCTACAAAACGTGAATTGCATGAATTATTTTCCAATAACTATTAAGTATACTGTACAGTAACTATAAAAAAATTGGTGAAAGTATGTCCTTCGTGGTATAATGGGCATATGCACAGATAGATAGATAGATAAATAAACTTTATTTAAACACGCTGACCCCGTCAACCGAAGCTGATTTCCACGAGGGGCGTGCAAAAAGTATACAGAAAAGAATTTTAAAACTATTTACAAAATTATATAAGATATATAGTATATTATATGAACTAACAAACTAAGGTAGTAATCTATATACATCGATATACAGGTAATATTAACATCTATGTTAATTAGCTATCTGTCAATGTGAGTAGTGATTTTCTTTCGAAAGGAAGAAAAGGATTTGCTCTCTCTTATTTCTTTAGGAATAGAATTCCAAAGGTGTGCCCCGTCATACACGAAACTTTTTTTCATATTATTAGTACGTGATTGTGGTAAACAAAGAGTACTTGAAATGTTCCGAAGTTTGTAGTTTGTCACCTCACCCTTATATGTGAAGAGATTACTGAGTGATTTGGGTCCCATTTTATTCAACAATTTGTACATGATTTTTGCTTTACTTTTCTTCCTTTCTGTTTTAAGTGGCTTCCAACCCGATGCTTGCAATGCAACAGAGTGATCTATGTCATTGCTCATATTCAAAATAATCCGAGCAGCCCTGTTTTGTAGTTTTTGGAGTCTTTTTGATTGCGTTTCTCCAAACACATCCCATACTTCACAGCAGTAATCAAAATATGGGCGAACAATAGCATTATATACAGAAAGAAGTGTTTGCAAATCAGCAAATTCTTTTAAACGCCTAAGAGCCGATATTCCAGATGTAATTTTCTTGCAAATATTCTCAGTGTTGGTTTTCCAAGATAAATGCTGGTCAATTGTCACTCCAAGAGTTTTGGATTCATAAACTTGTTTAATTGACTCGTTTTCAATTTTCACATTTAGTTGCAAATTTGAAATATTTTTTATCATTTGTTTTGAACCAATTAACATAAACTCAGTCTTAGCAACATTTAGACTAAGTTTATTGGCAATTAGCCACTTCCTAAGTTTTTCCAAATCAGAATTCACTGCAGTTTCAAGATCAGTAATAGAGTTTCCAGAAACTGTCAGGTTCGTATCGTCAGCAAACAACCGAGGTTTTGTTTTATCCAGGCATTGAGGCAAATCGTTAATATATAACAGAAAAAATAGGGGCCCTAAAATAGAGCCTTGTGGTACGCCACATTTGATCAATTTCTCTGATGAAACAGATCCTTGTATTTGGCATTTTTGGTTTCTATTTGAGAGATATGATTCTAGAAAAGACAGAGCTTGTCCTTTTATTCCGTAAAGCTCTAATTTTTTCAATAATATTTGATGGTCGACAGTATCAAATGCTTTTTTTAAGTCAATTAAGACTACCAGGTTAAACATTTTGCGGTCTAAATTCATATACCAATCATTTGTACAGTCAAGTAATTTGGTTCAAATTTGGTTAAATAATTGTATAGCTGATCGTACAGAATTCGTTCCATAATTTTGCTAATGACAGGCAGAACTGAAATTGGTCTGTAATTTCTTGGCAGGTTTCGTTGGCCATTTTTATAGAGAGGTATTACTCTAGCCGTTTTCCATTCGTGAGGGAAAAGGGATAGGATAATAGCTTGATTGAAAATATATGTGAGTGAATCTGAAATAGCAGGTGCAGCTATTTTAATAATTTTATTGGAGATCTTATCAACGCCGGTGGCTTTGTTGCTAGAAAGACCATGTAAAAGATGGTAGACATTGCTAACAGTGACTGGCTGGAATGCACTGAATTCTGATGTAGTCTTTTCAATATATGTTTGAAAGTTCAAATTTGGAGTATCAATTTTGCTAGCTAGATCAGGGCCAATATTTGAAAAATAATTATTAAAGCCCTCCGCAATATCTTTGGTATTTGTCAAACTATTTTCACCTAATTTTAACTCATTTACTACTGTTGGTTTGCTTTGCCTACCTAGTATATCGTTTATAGTTTTCCAAGCCTCTTTAGGGTTGCATTTTTTATCAGAAATTTTAGTGGAGTAATATTTTTTTTTAGCATTTCTTAGCTGAATATTAACTTTGTTTCTCGTTGTTTTGTAATTTAACCAGTCTATCTCTAGGTTTGTAATAATGGCCTTTCTTTTTAATCTGTCCCTTGTGATTATAAGTTGCTTTATAGCACTTGTAATCCAAGGAACTTTTTTTGTTCTAATCTTTTTATGTTGAAGTGGTGCATGGTTATCCAAGACCTCTGAAAATAATTTCTTCCAAATTTCCCACATAGCATTGGGATCTTCAGCGAAGAAGTATACATTTTCCCAGGGTTGTTGCCTCAGATCCTCAACAAATTTTTGATCATCAAATTTTTTCATATTTCTTATCTCAACTTTCTTCTCTTGTTTTTTAACAACAGAAATTTTCCTTATTGCAAATACCAAACTACGGTCACTTAATCCAGTATGGATAACACCAGAGTCAGAAATTTTCTCTGGTGTATTGGTGACTATATGATCAATAAGACTAGAGGTTGTCATAGTTACTCTGGTAGCTTCATCAATCAATTGTAACAATTGATACAACTCATACAATGTTTTGATTTTCTTTGTTGGAGAATTTGAATCTTTGTCTGTTTTAAGCATATCACAGTTTAGATCACCCAGAATATACATTTCTTTATTTTCATCATCAATGGCTTTAATTAATTTTTCAAAATGATCAAAGAATTCAGATGATGCATTGGGTGGTCTATAAATGGTTGTAACAAGAAATGGTCGACTGTGTGGCTTAATAATTTCTACACAGACAGCCTCCAATTCAGAGGGAATTAGATCTTGTCTTATAATATAGTTGATGGAGCTACGCAAGTAGATACAAACTCCACCTCCATTTCTTGATCTGTCTTTTCTAATAATATCATAATCATTAAGGTGAATCATACCATTAGTTATACTTGAGTCAAGGCGAGTCTCATTACGAGAACATCATTACCCTCGCCAATGCCAAACGATAGGAATGCCAAACGACCAATGCCAAACGGTAGGAATCCATGTAGTTTATTCCAGCCGACGAACTTGCCATCCTCATCCAGAAATCTTTCGGTTTTAAATTTCTCCCGTTCTGGCAATTCTCGTTCATCTTTATGCCCCTGTGAAACATTCAGGCCGACAAATGTTCCTTTTGGAATGGGGTAGCCAGCGATGGTTGTGTCACGAATCGTGTTTGTTACGACGAGCGTCATCATACCTGATATCCTTCCGACTTCACATAAGGTAGTTTGAAGATATGGGAAGCTGTTTTCATCTTTCCAGTTCGGTGGACGATCACGTCCCACGACTTTTGTTCTGTATAATGGCTTAATGCATCATATTCTAAAAATATTATCCAATCATTATCCTTGACGCCAGGCCGTCTAGACAGGTTTTTTTTTAAATATCGCATGTATACTGTCCAGTGCATGCCTGCCCATTTGTAGCAATATTCATTCTCCTGAATTTCATTCAATTTAAAACATCACATCTATTCAATTTAATATAAATATATATTTATATTCATTCACTTTAATCTTGCAATATACATTCAATTTAATCCTGCAATATACATCCAAAAAATCTATATTGAACTTTATTAAACACACCTTCTTGGGCCGACGTGAACTTTGTTGGGATTACAAAATACGAATGTAAACTCTCCATCTAGTATTGCTTTCTTGTCCTCTTCGTTTAACAGTGAAGTCAGCACGGCATCCACGCTTTCTTAGTTCCCGGACGTGAGCGAGAGTCAATCAAACAGTTCAATTTGTAAATGACTATTAAGATGGGTTTCTCCAGAAAGTTGTGACTTTTGCCAAGTCGTCGTGCTACTCTCGGTGCTAGAACTTTGGAATATTAAACTCTTCCCATAACCAATAGCAAGATGCAAATACATCTTTAATGTGAATCAAATTGGACAAGGCGGGGTATTGATGCTCCCGAGTCCGTTAAACTTTTAATTCAGGAAATTTAGGCCTGTTTCATACGTCGAATTTAATTGAGACGAATTTAATTCGTTATTAAATTCGTCCATTGGTCGACATTAAAATGGTTTCGTTTCAAACGACGAATTTAATTCAGACGAATTTAATTAATTAAAAAAAACAATATGGCGCGTGATGGCCATAGAAATAATAGACATAGAATGCGTGCTCCCATCTCTTCTCAGTAAAAATTTTGTCTCCACAAAATGGCGGATTTATAAGGGCATTTTGCCTAGTCCCAGACTCCTGTGGCGTGGAATTTCGCGCGGTGCCGGGAGTGCGAATTGTTTTTTTCAATAAAGTTTGCAAAAACAATTCTATCCAGACTTGAAGTGGAAAAAAAGTGTTTTTAATGGAGAAAAACCCATTCCCATGGGTTTTTTTACGAAGAGCAATAGTTCTGAACAGAATATATAGAGAAATCGTCGTTTCAAAATACATTTTCAACGTTGTTGTGCAAGCCAAAACAAAACACGAAAAATCAAGACAAACTGAAACTCAATAGGTATGTTTTAAAAAATATATTTCAACTGTTTTATAATATAAATAGAGTTCAATAATCTTTTTAAACTTACACAACTACTTTTATACTTTTTTATACGTTGCTTGAGCTTGAGGCAACGCTTTTGAAACCATATGTTTTCGACGATCATTTAGGCGATTTACAGTTTTAAATATCAACAACTAAATATTTTTGTTTCAAAAACATGAAAACACTTCGTTTAGATTGAAGAAAAACAAAACCCGGCGAAGAATGAACTATCATCTCGTAATTTTATAAAGTATTAGCAAAACAGTTACGTTCAGAGCTTGCAAAAATGTTTTATGAGTAAGTTATATTTTATACGCGAAACTACACGAAAAAACTACTTGTTTTTTATACAAGGCTGCACGATTTTCACCGTTTTTGTAACGGCACATTTGCTTTGAGCCTTTAAAGAACTTAATATTTCAAATTCTATCCCCAAACTATACAAATACCAAACGTTTTGACGATGAAAATTTTATAGTTTTAGTTTTGTTTATACTTTGTAGTTTGCACTCCTACTCAAATTCAACATGGCGGATTTATAAGGGCAATTTGGTTTTCAGTTTGGACACCGGTCACGTGACCAAGCGCGCATTCTAGGTCTAATATTTCTATGGTGATGGCGCGCTATTCTGACAAATCAATACAAGGTTTTATGACAGTTATTCTCAATAAAATAAGAAAAGAGAGACAAAGAAGACAAAGAATTCGTCGAGCTGTTCTGATTTTATTTATTGTCAGGTTAAAGTTTCTGATTCTTACACGTTCTATATTGCCTTTATTATTGGCAAATCTCTGCCGAAGGAAACCTGTGCAACGTTCTTGTCGTCGCCTTTTTAGGAACGAGGGCTGGTGGGATTTGATTTACCTTGGAAGCGACGACAGGTTTAAAAAGACTTTCCGGGTGACCCGTGTAACATTTAACAATATATTAAACAGTATTCGCGAAGACATTGTAAAGGATATTGTTGCAGCGGTCCCAATATCACCTGAATGCAGACTAGCAATTTGTTTGTACAGATTAGGAAGGGGAGATTATCTGTACACGATTGCAGAATTATTTGGGATAGGAGTTTCAACTGTACAATGTATTGTTTCTGAAGTCTGTCGTGCAATTGTTAAAAACCTATGGAAATCAGCAGTCATGGACACTTTCCCTTCCAACACAGAACAGATAAATGCAAAAATCATTGATATGGAACAGTTGTGGCAATTCCCATGCGCTTGGGGGGCTGTTGATGGCTGCCATTTACCGATAGTCTGCCCAAGCGGTGGTCAGGAAGCAAGAAAAGAATATTATAAAATAACATGTATATAACGCGTATTCTGATTGGTCGAAAGCCGTGTTTGGATCAGGCCATCCAAACACGGAAGACTACCGTGTTGTTGTTATTTTATAAAACAATTACTTTATGGTTTCCGTGTTTGGATGGACTGATCCAAACACTTGGGAATGTTGCTCGAGTTAAGAAAAGCGGGCAAAATCACTAGCCTTCGGCTTGTGATTTCGCTCGCTTTTCTTAACTCTCGCAACATTCCCGCGTTTTGGATCAGGCCATCCAAACACGGAAACCATAAAGTAATTGTATACCATAATTTTAAGAATTTTTACTCCATTGTGATGATGGCAATTGTAGATGCAAAGGATCGGTTTGTATGGGCCAGCATTGGCTTCCCAGGGAATTCCCACGATTCAGTAATTTTGCAGTCCACACAGTTGTGGACTGATATTACTGAAAACAATATCATACCTTCCATAGGGAAAAACATTGAAAAACTTATTGTGAATCCGTTGATTCTTGGTGATTCTGCTTTTCCGTTTCGCATTTGGCTGATGAAACCATATGGTCATGCTACACTTAGCCCTAAAGAGAACAATTTTAATTATCGTCTCAGTAGGGCACGAATGGTCACAGAAAGAGCATTTGGCCAGCTGAAAAGCAGGTGGAGAATTTTACACCGCAGATCAGAATGTGAGCCAGAAAGTGTGAAGGAAACAGCACTTACATGTGTTGTTCTTCACAATCTTTGCATCGCTAATGGTGATAATCTTCCTCAGCATGTTGATCTTCTTTGTAATTATCCAAAAAATCAAAGAGATCGAGAGAAAGTACGAAAGTTATTGCAAATGAGAAGCTGTGCCAGAACAAAAGATTCCTCTAAAGCAGCAGAGGCTATTAGAGCTGCACTTGCAGAAAAACTTTGGAAAGAGAAGGAAGGGGGAGGAGTAGTGTGAAGCAAATTCAGTACATTTAGGAATTGGTCAATATTTATGGAATGGGGAGAGGGGGAATATTTTCATTCCTTTTAAAATTGAAATCCCTCTCTGAAAGAGCAGAAATTCAATGGTGACCCCCTCCCCCATCATATTAAAACATTTTCTCATTGACCCCTCCCTAGCTATCCCATCTTTTATAAACCAATACTTTCAAAGACAAGGTATTTTAACCATACAACACCTGTGATATCACTTTAGTTCTTTACTTTGGCTAATGCCAGATGTATTTAATATTAAGCCAGGTTCCCATTTGGTATAGGCAGTTGTAATCATGTGAAAATAGCTGCAGATGTAACAATACATTGTTGATTTTATCTCTACATTGCATACAGCTTACAAGATATATCAACACTATTTCACATAGGTAACCATTATTTAGTCGCAACATTTACAACCAAATGGAAACTAGGCTTAAGTAAATTCCTTCAAATTTAATTGCAACCCCACATTTTTGATACCCCCTTTTTTAAAAAAATATCTCCCCCCCCTCTTCTAGTTATATAGCCCCTAATCCCCTCCCATAATTAATGAACAGTCCTTTAGGACAATTGAGCATTAATTAATCTACTTTACATTTTGTTACATTTTGTTACATTATTACACATAATTAGTGCCATGTATTGCAGTCAATATGTTAAACCCTTATTTGGCGGCAGTTGCAATCGTTACTGAAAATAGTCTTATTGTTGAATATTTCAATAAAGAATTTTGTTGTATGATGGTTACCCTGATTATTATTACTCGTACTGCATATTAGGAAGTACACATTGTAACAGCACAGTCTTGGTAAGTATATTAAACCATTAGTGCATAATACAACCTCATTTACATATGCTGTATAAATGTATTCTAAATTCACCTTGAAATGAAGTTGCCCTTGATTGTGGTTTTTCATGTGTGCACATTGTAGTTTTGTGTCAACTTAAAGTTGCATTGCACCCTGTATTGATATTTTGTTGACGTTAGATAAAATAAGTAATATTAATCTCTAAGTTAATTAGTTAATAATAGACAGTGGATATGATTGACAGTTTGCATGTTTCACGAGCCGAAAACAACATGAAGACAAGGCGTGTGCTTAGGAAAACATACGAAGCAAATGTAGATTAAAATGTGTTAACCCGCCAAGAAGTAAGTTCATATTTGTGTATTAGAGTATGTATAGTGTAGAATTAGAAGTAATTTGTAGTTGTAATTCAATTTATAGATCGAATAAAAACAGTGTAAACAATATACGATTTGACGGGCAATGTATTCATTTCATCGGACCACAAATTCGATTTCCAATGCTAACCTGGCGTCCGTAAGAAATATATAAACGAAGATAAACTTGTGTGCTAACCAGAAGCTAACCATGGCTGAAGCGAAAGCTTTATCTGAAGCGAAACTAAGACGTAGAACTGCTAAAGCCGCGCTAACCCGTATAAGTAAAACGCTGAGAATTAAACTACAAAACGATAGACCCCCAGGCGAAATAACCGAAGCTTTGCAAAAGGTGAAACAGGCGTATAATGATTTAGTCGTTAAACATGAAGAATATGCCCAGAACTTTGAAAATGATGAGGAATTCGAAACAGAGGAAAAATGGCTAGAAGAAAGTCAGGATGCGTATCTTCAACTAGAATGTACAACAAATGATTATATTATGAATAAAAACATGCAACAGACATTGGGCGGAAGTGTTGAACAACCGGAAGCGAGTAGCGGAAATAACGGAAGTGAAGCCCAAACGAACACTGAACAGTCGGAAACAGTCGGAGAAACTTCGGCAACTGAACAGCAAGCTGTAAATGTGAACAACCAAGAAGAAACTTCTGAAAATAATGCTCAATCGAGTAATAATGTCCAAGAAAATGTTCAACAAAGCGTCACAAAACCCTGTGGATTCAAAATGGAAAGACCCAAGATGCCGCGATTTGCTGGAGACGTCCGAGATTACGTCATATTTCGAGCTGATTTTAGACATGCTGTAGATTCAAGGTACGGTAAAAGAGATGCAATGTCCTTGCTACGTACGAGCCTTAGCGCAAGACCCTTGGAGCTGATAAAAGGAATTGGTAGCGACTACGATGCTGCATGGGAGCACCTAGATTCGATATACGGAGACCCTAGATTGGTCGCAGACACTGTCACCCATGACATTTCAAAATTCAAACCACTTCGTGAAGATGAAGACTCAAGATTTTGTGATTTAACCCAACTGGTTAGAAGAAGCTACAACACGCTCAAGGAAGTCAACAGACAGTTTGACATGGATAACAATCACATGATAGCAATAATTGAACAGAAATTGCACATGAATGACAGGAAGATCTGGTCGCGCCATTTGGAAAGCAGTGGAAAAGAGGCTACATTAGAAAATCTAATCACATGGATGACAACAGAAATAAAAACAAGAATGAGAGCTACAGCGCCTCTGAGAAGTATGCAATCCAGGCATCCGGTTGGAAGTTTCAATGCTGATATTTCTGGAAGTAACCCTAAGTGCTGGGTGTGCAAGAGTTCCAACCATTTCGTTGATCAATGCAGAAAGTTTTCAGCTATGAATCCCAGTGAACGATTACAAGCTGTTAAGGACAATCATGCCTGTTATAGTTGTCTTAAGCGTGCAGGTAGAGACCACAGATCATCAAATTGCTCCAGAAGACGTCAGTGCCAAGAGAAAGTGAACGGTAACCAGTGTAAATACTACCATCATCACCTACTCCATGAAGATAACCCACATACCGCTGCAAAGATTGGAACATTTACAACAGACAAAACAGCAATGCTTCCTATTGTACAAGCGAACATTCTCGGTTTAAATGGTCTGAAAAAGAAAGGAAACGTGTTATTAGATTCCGGCGCTCAGATCAGTTTAATTAAAACGTCAGTCGCCAAAGATTTAAAGCTAAAGGGAAAGGACGTTGTTCTGACTCTTATAAAAGTAGGATGTCAAGAAGAGGAATTACACACCAAAGTATATCGTGTTACGGTTCAGTCGCTAGAAAATCAATCATGTCACACAATTGAAGCCATTGGAATTCCCTCTGTTAGTGATGAAATTTCCGTTGTAAAAATAGATGAGGTAATCAGAAAGTTTGGTTTATCAAGAGGTGACATTCGAAGAGGAACTGGTGATACGGACTTGTTGATTGGTATCGATCAAGCGAAGCTCCATACCGGAGAAACGAAAGAAGCAGGAAATCTTGTGGCACGCCATTCCCCTCTAGGTTGGGTGATCTTCGGTGCTACAACTAGTCAGCAACTTGGAACCAGCAGAGTAAATCACGTGAAGTTCGCGACACCCGTAGACATGACCGAGTTTTGGTCTACCGAGTCAATGGGAGTTTCTGTCAAGCCATGCTTTTGTGAGCCGCAAAAGCTAAGCCCTATCGAAAGAAAAGAAGCGAAAGTGATCGAAGATTCTTGTGAAAAGTTAAATGGACAGTGGCTTATATCGTATCCATGGAAAAGAGATCCATACGAATTACCAGATAATAGAGAGCAAGCGGAAAAGAAGTTGCAGGCGACAGAGCGACGACTTTTGAAGAATCAAGAACATGCAACCGCATATGATAAAGAGATGGTCGACATGAATAAACTCGGCTTCTCGAGAAAATTATCAGAAGAAAAACTTAACCAGTACAACGGCCCGGTGCATTATGTGTCACATCACGAAGTCTTACGACCCGAAAGCAAAAGTACTCCTCTACGGATTGTTTTTAATTCATCTGCAGTTTATCAAGGACATAAGCTTAATGACTATTGGATGAAAGGACCCGATCTTTTGAACGACCTTTTTGGTGTCTTACTCCGTTTTCGTGAAAGTCGAACTGCTGTTTAGGAGACATTTCGAAAATGTACCACCGTATCTTAATACCGGAAGTTGATCAGCAAGTGCATAGATTTATCTGGAGAAATTTGGAAACTGAACGTGATCCCGACACTTACGTGAAAACGGTTTTGACGTTTGGCGACAAGCCTACCCCAGCGATGGCGCAGATCGCTCTAAGAAAGACCGCGCAAGAATCAGAAGAAGTGTACCCGAAAGCTGCAAAGGTTTTGAAAAACAACACATATATGGACGATATTTGTGATTCACTGGAAACAAATGAGGAGGCTCGGCAGCTTACCCGTGACGTAGACGAGGTTTTGGCAAAAGGTGGATTTGCAGTGAAAGAGTGGATATCAAATTGCAATCTGGGTGAAGAAAACCAATCATCGGAAAAACAAGTTGTGCAGTCTGATCGAGAGAAAAGTCCGATAGAAAAGGTTCTTGGACTTGAATGGGACCATCAAAATGATAAGCTAAAGCTCCACACAAGAGAAATCCATAACGCCAGTACGAAGCCAAAAAAGCTGACAAAGCGGTTAGTCCTTAGTCGAATCGCGCGTGTTTTTGATCCCATCGGATTAGCTTCAGCTTTTCTTATACGTGCAAAGATTGGCATGCAACATCTATGGAAGAAAGGACTTGATTGGGATGACGAACTTCCCTTTGATTTACAAGAGTTCTGGAATAATTTGTTTCACGAACTGTCATGTCTGAATAGCTTATGCTTCGAAAGATGTCTTCCGTGGAAGCTTTTGGTGCCTGTTCGTACATACGATGGAAATTAGCGGATGGAAGTTTTGGCGTACGTTTCATCGCAGCAAAGTCGAGGGTATCCCCATTAAAGCAACTAACGATCCCACGTTTGGAGTTACAAGGAGCAGTCCTTGCCTCTCGGTTGAGTAAATCCATTTTGGAGAAATTCGAAAGAACGATTTTCTTTCTCGACAGTCAGATTGTTCTTGCATGGATTCGCGGTGAAGCTAGAAGATTTAAACCATTCGTTTCAATACGAGTGAGCGAGATTCAAAGTAATTCCGACCCAGCTACGTGGAGACACTTACCTGGAGAATACAATGTTGCCGACGAAGTGTCTCGTGGGATTTCTGTGCAAAGTCTGACAGAGAAATGGCAACGAGGTCCAGAATTTCTTCGATTACCTGAACATGAATGGCCAGCGGATTCATCAACTGTTGAGACCGGTGAAGTTGAACAGGAAATTCGAAAGAGTCAGAAAGTGTGTACAGTGAAGGAAACTATGGCTTCCCCGATCGATTGTACGAGATTTTCGAACTGGAGACGACTGGTGCAAGTAACAGCGTATGTCTTCAGATTCTACTGGAATTTGAAAGCTCGTGTGAAAAAAGGAAAAGCAGAAAACCCAGATAACCAAAGAAGTAGTTGTTTGTCCGTACAAGAGCTAGAAGAGTCAGAAACCTATTGGATAAAGCAAAACCAGAAAAACCTGCAAAACAGTCTTGCGAAGGGACAATTGCAAAAGCTGGATCCGATTACCGACTCGAAAGATGTTGTCAGAGTTGGAGGTAGAGTTGATAAAACCATTGCGACTTACGATACCAGACATCCAGTGTTATTGTCTAGGGATCACTGGACATCTAAACTGATTACTCGTCAAGCCCACCAATATGGACACTCTGGAGTAGCCGCCACTGTAGCAAAGATTCGACGAAAATATTGGATACTCCGAGCCCATAACCTTGCTAAATCAGTCAAGTACGAATGCGTGTTCTGCAAGAAAATGCAAGCGAAGTGTGAAACCCAGAAAATGGCAGACCTTCCTGGAATTCGTCTTGTACCATATACTCCACCATTTCACAATAGCGCATGTGATTATTTTGGCCCTTATCACGTCAAGGTTGGACGAAACAAAAGTACGAAGCATTACGGTGTCGTATTTACTTGTTTGAACACAAGAGCTGTTCACTTAGAACTAGCAGTTGACTATTCAGCTATGGAATTTATACAAGTCTTGCGTCGATTTTTTGCAATTCGTGGAAGACCAGCGTTGATTCTAAGTGACAATGGGACACAGTTAGTAGGGGCTGAAAGAGAATTAAGGGAGATGATCGCAGGATGGGATAAAGAGAAGTTAAGGGAGTTTGCAGCAGAAAAAGGAATTAAATGACAATTTATTACACCTACAGCACCACACCAGAATGGTTGTGCAGAGTCTATGGTTAAAAGTTGTAAACGAGCACTAAAGAAGGCAGTTGGAGAACAGAAGCTAACACCGTTTGAACTTTACACCTGTTTATTAGAGATCGCAAACCTGGTAAACCAACGACCAATTGGCCGCGTTACAACTGATCCAAACGAAGGTTCGTACATTTGTCCTAATGATATTCTGCTTGGACGTGCGTCGTCGAAAGTACCACAAGGACCGTTCAAGGAGACTCGAGATCCACGTAAACGTGTTGAGTTTGTTCAGAGAATAGTAGATGATTTTTGGAAACATTGGCAAAGAGATGTTTTTCCAGCGTTAGTTCCCCGTAAAAAGTGGAATGCAGATAGAAGAAACGTTCGTGTCGACGATGTTGTAGTGATTGAAAACCCGAATGCAGTGCGAGGAAGCTGGACAATTGGCAAAGTTATAAACGTGTTTCCTGGTAAAGACAGTAAGGTTCGAAACATCAGAGTGAAGACATGTTCTGGAGAATATGAGAGACCTGTAAGTAGAATTGCTGTTATTTATCCAGAAGAAGGTTACAAAGAGAACTAGAACTAGCTATGCTATTTAGTAGCATGAGAACTACATTCTCATCGGGGCGGAGAGTGTATTGATATTTTGTTGACGTTAGATAAAATAAGTAATATTAATCTCTAAGTTAATTAGTTAATAATAGACAGTGGATATGATTGACAGTTTGCATGTTTCACGAGTCGAAAACAACATGAAGACAAGGCGTGTGCTTAGGAAAACATACGAAGCAAATGTAGATTAAAATGTGTTAACCCGCCAAGAAGTAAGTTCATATTTGTGTATTAGAGTATGTATAGTGTAGAATTAGAAGTAATTTGTAGTTGTAATTCAATTTATAGATCGAATAAAAACAGTGTAAACAATATACGATTTGACGGGCAATGTATTCATTTCATCGGACCAGCCCTGATATGTAAATTATCAAGGGCAAATTAAAGCTCATTACTGTATGTCGCAGAAATACAGTTATTGTAACTAAAGTGCCTTGTCTTAAAGGACGTTATTCATTATGTATTTCATTAAAAAAACTCTCATAATGTATGAAAGTGCCATTCAGACCCCCGGACTTTTACAAAGGTGCCATCCACATCCCCAATCTCACTCTTAACTTCTCTGCAAAGTTGAGAGGTCTGGATCGTCACCACGAGAGCTGCTCAGCAACCTGGCCTCCTCGTTTGAAAACATTCCATCAGGGGGGGAGGAGCTGGACTGGAATGAGGGGGCTTTCAAAGCAACATGATAAAACACACGATATAAATGTTTAATATTTGTTTATTGTCGAATACATCATGATAAAGTAATAATTTCTATTTATATCGTGTGTTTTATCGTGTTGCTTTGAAAGCCCCCTCATTCCAGTCCAGCTCCTCCCCCCCCTGATGGAATGTTTTGAAACGAGGAGGCCAGGTTGCTCAGCAACCTGGCCTCCTCGTTTCAAAACATTCCATCAGGGGGGGAGGAGCTCTCCCCACTACAATACTTCATGTAAACACGTCATATGGGCATCACTGCTTTTTTACAAAGAGACGCCTGGGTACGAGGCAGAGGAACAAGGGGGAATTTCGTTCTCGACCAATCAGCGCTTTTGTTTACATTTTTGCCCTAAGCCAATCAGAATGCGTAAAACGCTTCATCACATGAACTTTGTAAACAAACATATGGGGTTACTTCAGAGCTTTTCTGCAGGCGGTTTTTTCGTTTTTTGCCATGAAATTCATATATGTTGTTCTTAAAAGAATTCTCCTCAACTTCCTCGTGGCGATTTTTGATTAATTGCGTGATTGCGAAGATATGGGTCTTCAAACTTTGCCTTGCGCAGGCTTAAATACCACCCCTCGAATTTGTAGGTTCCGAACGGATTAGCGTTTTTAAAAGCCTTTCAAATCGAGGTTTGAGAGGTTTTATTTTTTAAAAGATACTTTTATCTTCATATTTTCACATTAACTTATTAATATCCTGTGTAACAAGTAAACAGGACATTTCCGGGCCGGGACAAGTTGACATGTCGATTTCTTGCCAAACAGCGTGGCGATCAATATGGCGAATATCTAAATACAGGGAATTTTTAAAATTTTGTTGGTATAAATGGGATAAAGAAGCTCATCAAATATTTGGACTATGGACCTTCAAACTTATGCCAAGTATTTATTTGATTGATTAGCTCAATAACTGTTTTTTGGCTCGTTTTTCGTCGATTTCGACATTTAGTCGAGCTTAGTCGACTTCAAAATAATGTGTCAACATTGCGTGTTGCAGCCTGTGGATATGAATATTTTCGTTTGTTTGACCATAACACTTTTCTTCACTGTTTTTAATCCTTCAATGACAATATATTCATTGGTCTGAGAGTCCTAAACTTAGGGATGAGCCGATAAGGAAAATTGCCGATTACTGAGGCCGATTATTTACAAGCCGAATATTGTAACTAATCGGCCGATTAATCGGTACCCATTTAAAAAGCAAGCGAAAAATCACAAGATGACCAACAATGAAGTTGTAAATGTGGTTTTATTGTTTACAATACACACTTTGTACAATTAAAAACAGCTTCAGTCTCGCATGTCAATAGTCAAAGTTTAGTTTTGGCAGATTACTGTATGTTGCAAAAACAAAGCACTGTCAGCTATGCGGAGCTAGTCTGCTGCGTTTTTTTTTAGTGGAAATGTTCCAAGCTTCACTTCGCTTGAGACAAAAGACACAGGTTTTGCAACAAAATAGAGAAGTTAAGATACCCCGGTTCCGGTTTACGGGTACGAGTATCGCCATTTTGTTTACCAATTTTTGCTGATGTCAGCAATTTTACCCGTAATTTCTACCCGTTTCCCCGCGGTAAACCGTGGTCTACACGTAAACGACAAACGGGTACGGGTGTTTCCTGTTTACTATTTTTGGGCCGTTTAAATAGTACAAATTTTCAACATCTTACCCAAATAAATAATGCACATATACTGGTCAAAGCTTTTAACAATTTATGGCAAACCTCAACAGCGAAAGTTGCCATTCTCTGATTGGTTTTCTCACACCGGAGTATCTTGGATTCCTTAAGTTACAAGCTATTCCCCGATTTACGGGTACGGGTACGTGTATATCACCCGTACCCGTAAATCGGAATCGGGGTATCTTAACCTCTCTAATGTGAAAATCTATTCGCTTGTATTCAGTATTTTGGCATGTGATTGGCAGCTGCAGAAAAAGTCTTATGGCCGATTGTTTGCCGATTATCAGGCAATAATCGGCCGATTACCGATTATTTAAAAAACGGCCGATTAATCGGCTTTGCCGATTATTTACCGATTAATCGGCTCATCCCCACCTAAACTTAAGGAAGATAGATGACTTTAGGACAGATATCAAAATTTTGTTCAGATATCAAAATTTATGGACAGATACAGTCACAGAGCATAGTCATAGGACCCTCATTGTTTCTTCCTTAATCTGGCCCACTAGTCACAAATGGGGCCTGTTCTTATGACCTGGCTAGGCAGGAGACAACATTTGCCAGTATTGCCGATATACTATCCTGCTACTATCCTGGCTAAGCACAAGGTATCCGTTGCCAGAATCCCAACTATGCAAGCCAAGAAATTCACCATTTACAGTAAACATTCTATCCCACAACCAGGCAACATGAACTTGCCTTTAGGGTCCCGTGCTGCCTAGCCCAGATCATATCAACAGACCCTTAGCAGATCCTGAAACTACAATTGGAACATTTTAGACCATAATCTTGTAGAATCAACCAGGTATTGTCAGTAGTATAATATCACACTGGGCATGCAAGCTGGTCTTGCCCATTTATATGGGCTAAATATACACCTGCCCATGGTAAGATACTGCCTCGTATATTAATTTTATATATGTTTGAGATTGCATTCACATGAAACAGCCTGGTTGAATTTATTGGCCCAGCATTTTGCTTGAGCAAGTTGATATCCTGCATTGGGAGTCTCACACTAATAAAGGTCATAAGCTGGCCAACCAGCTCACTCGACTAAAAATCATGTTATAATACACAATTTGGCCCAAGTAAGTAAGAAATTGATTAATATAAGCCTTCTGAAGCTGTTGTCATTAACAAATTAACCAGCATTTCACACAAATTTCTTGACAACAGTTGCCAGGTTAGCCTGGCTCCTGTGAGGCAAATGACAAACTAGCCCTGAAAAGAAAATCCAGTCATGTTTGCTGGGCTAGCATGGCCCATTTTGACAGCCCTTAACAGGGAGAGCTTATTTTTGGAAGGGAGATCTGATTTTTGGAAGGGAGGCCTATTTGTGAGGTTACTGGGGGCTTAATATTGGATTGCATTATATAATATGTGTAAAATATTCATTTGTGCACAGGTATTCTGGTAATGCACAAATTTATAGACTAAAATGTTTCAATTATAGTAGATCGGGATCTATTGGGGACCTGTTTATATGATCTAGACTATCCAGAACACATGAAGCCTAATTCATGTTGCCTGTTTGGTATACAGTGCTTATTGATCCTTATTGTATATGGTGAATTTCTTGGCTTACATATAGCCAGGATTCTGGCAATGGAAACCTCACGCTTAGCTAGGCCGATAGTAGCAGGATAGGATAGAACATACTGGCAAATGTCGTCTCCCACCTAGCCAGGTAATATGAACAGGGCCCAATTGTGACAAGTGAGCCAGATGAAGTAAAAAAACAATGAATTTCATATACAGGTATATATCCATAAATTTTGATACCTGAACAGCAACATTGAACAAAATCATTCTGTCCCAATGTCATCCATCTTCCTTAAGTTTAGGACTCTGAGACCAATGAATATATTGTCAATCAAGGATTAAAACCAATGAAGACAAGTGTTATTGTCAAACAAACGAAAATATTCATGTCCACAGGGTGCAACACGCAATGTTGACACATTATTTTGAAGTCGACTAAGCTCGACTAAATGTCGAAATCGACGAAAAACGAGCCAAAAAACAGTTATTGAACTAATCAATCAAATAAATACTTGGCATAAGTTTGAAGGTCCATAGTCCAAATATTTGATGAGCTTCTTTATCCCATTTATACCAACAAAATTTTAAAAATTCTCTGTATTTAAATATTCGCCATATTGATCGCCACGCTGTTTGGCAAGAAATCGACATGTCAACTTGTCCCGGCCCGGAAATGTCCTGTTTACTTGTTACACAGGATATTAATACGTTAATGTGAAAATATGAAGATAAAAGTATCTTTTAAAAAATAAAACGTCTCAAACCTCGATTTGAAAGGCTTTTAAAAACGCTAATCCGTTCGGAACCTACAAATTCGAGGGGTGGTATTTAAGCTTGCGCAAGGCAAAGTTTGAAGACCCATATCTTCGCAATCATGCAATTAATCAAAAATCGCCACGAGGAAGTTGAGGAGAATTCTTTTAAGAACAACATATATTAATTTCATGGCAAAAATCAAAAAAACCGCTTGCAGAAAAGCTCTGAAGTAACCCCATATGTTTGTTTACAAATTTCATGTGATGAAGCGTTTTACGCATTCTGATTGGCTTAGGGCAAAAATGTAAACAAAAGCGCTGATTGGTCGAGAACGAAATTCCCCCTTGTTTTCACAAGGTGTATTATTCAGCTCACCGAGAAAATTTTCATCTGGGTCCAAGTTGCTGTTTAAAGCAAGATGGTGTCTTGTATTTAATAATAAAGGATTAAAAAATAATGTACCTAGTCTATCTTGATTATAACTAATAGACCATTTTGAAATAGACCTTTATAAAAAGGTTGACGTCAGCAGGTTTGTGACGTAGTTTGCGGAGGAAATCTCGAAAGCTTAGAGTTGTTTACTTGTTTTTGAGTTTTTTTAAGCCAAAGGAAGCCAGTATTATGGTAAGTTTGAAGCAAATTTTTTCTATATATATAGGCCAAATGAGATTTCATATTCGTCGTATAAATTTTATTTGTTTTTATATTAGATTGTACATTATTTTACCGTTATGAACATTTAGCAAATTGTTCGCTCGGTTTTCTTTTCTGTTTCTCAAATTCGTCAGTGTATAAAACAGCTCCGCTTTCGTTTTAAACTTCAGCCGAAATTTTAAGTTATTTTTGGTAGCTTTTTCAATATCCTTGCCAATTTTGGACTCGAGTATGTCCTTTTCTGTCAACTATATCGATAAAAATAATCGACTTATCAGTCTTAAGGTGGCTCCCTACAGTTAGTACAGTTTAAATACGTTTTATATAGATCAGACTTCATCCTCGCGACCTGCGCGTGGAATCGTCGTGTTTACTGCAGTGCTCTCACTTTTAAGGAATTATCCTTAAAAATAGGAATTTTGAAGAGTTTTAAGGATTTTTTTAAGGAATTTAGGTTTTTGAGGATCTTTTTAAGGAATTTCTGAAACATTTTATCCTGGATTAAAACAGTGTTTTGAAACCCTAATTTTTTACAAAATGTGTTCTCAGAACGCTGCAAATTTGACTTTCCGGGATTCAAATTTAAAAATTTTTCCGTGCCTTCGGCACGAGGCCCCCAATATTTCGTAAAGTGTCGCCACTGGTCTTTTCATTAAAATTCTCAAAAGTTAATTAAATGTCAGTATATGCCGTTTCTTCTGAAATCTGCAGTCCTACAGATTTTTTAAGCTCTTCATGCAGCAACGATTAAAGATACATCATGTTGAATGTTTTCTTTATGGCACAGGGTTAAAAACTGATAAAAACAAGGTTAAATACTGAAAAACAGAAAAAAGGAGGAAAAACACTTTTTGCAACTGTGTGATCAGGCCTTGTGGTAATTTTACCAATTTAAGGAATTTTAAGGAAATCTGAGGAATTTTCGAGCTTTTTCTAAGGAATTCGAAAATTTGATTGTGAGAGCACTGGTTTACTGTTCGGCAAAAATATTGAAACAAGCCGCGGGAAGTTTTTTGGCGTTTTTATCTACCAAGAAAGCTCCAGTTTTTCATTATAATCCTATTTTTTTGTGAATTCGAACAGTACGTATGTTATTAACTAGTTTAGCCAATCTTTTAGTGTGTTTTTACGTATTTACGTTCAGTATTGTCTTTCATATTGCTCAAAATTTTCAACTTGTGTTGCGAACTGTCAAACTGAAACGATACTGTCTTCTATAGCTCTTGAACAGCAGTGAACTGTCGCCGAAACTTATGTAAGTTCTGTCAATCAATTCAATTCACAGGTATCGTTTTATCTGCTAAATCAAATAAAACAGTTATGAGTTGTTTTATATGAAAAGTTAAACTTGTAGTTCGATGTTTTGAAAAGTTTTCACACCGATTTTAACAACAAAAACAAATGTAAACTAACATTGGATTTAATACAATGCGTATAATAGTGTTTTTTTATTAGTATTTTCAAGATTAATATTTTATTTTCATGTCAAACAAGTCAGAAATATCTGTTTTCGTATGTATTGTAAGCCAAAAAGTTGAAATCACTATAAATCACACGCTACAATTTACACGCATGCGCAGATCATGCTCATGTCGAGTCGATTTTTTTTCATGCTGGCCACGCCAATTTTAGCGATGATTTTCTCGTGTTTTCTTCGGTGAAATTTTTTTAAACTTTGTATTTTTGTTATACAAGACGAGTGGTACAACATATCCAAATTTTAAGAAATTCTACAAATAACTTTTTCTGTAACCGTCATTCACGAATATCTTGAAAACTTATTTGTAAATTCCCTTCAAATTTTGATATGTTTTTCCTTTATGGGCCATAAATCTTCAAACAAAATTTCAGAAACATTCACCGAAGGAAAATATAGATATTGTCAATTTATTGTGAAATTAGACAATAAAAGTGCAAACGATTAAACATCATGGTTGCCATGGCAACACAAACACTGTTTTAATTTGTTCATAAATGGACAGCACACAGCTTCTGAACTTTCCTGGAAATGATCATATTGCCTTGTCTTAAGTGTATCTAATATAAATTCGGTTCAAAGCGAACGTTACTCAAAATACCTAGAATTTTAGAGAACTGTAGGGAGCCACCTTAATACGAGTCATTGTGTACAAGATGTACTCAGAGTCACTTATGACAATAAGACCTCTTTGCATGATCACTGAGCCCGTGTATTGCTGTCTACAGCTTGATTGGGGCCATTCTGATGATTAGACTAATGAATTTGAGAAACAAAAAAGAAAAATTATACTTTTTAGCAACGAAATATATGTAAACAAACCGAGCGAACAAATTGCTAAATGTTGACAGTAAAATAATGTACAATCTGATATAAAAACAAATAATATTTAAACTACGACGAATAGGAAAACTCATTTGGCCTATATATAAAAAAAATGTACTTCAAACTTACCATAATACTGGCTTCTTTTGGCTTTAAAAAAACTCAAAACAAGTAAACAACTCTAAGCTTTCGAGATTTCCTCCGCAAACTACGTTACAAGCCTGCTGACGTCAACCTTTTTATAAAGGTCTATTCATAGAGTCAATAAGAAGCTCTCATCATCTAAATCAGAAAAGGGTAAGAAGTTCATAGGTATAGAAGCCATATTTATATTAATTATTTGAATAACTTACTATAAAACACATTAGTTATAGAATAAGTAAATACTGACTTTATCCAGATCGTTTGTCTTTAATTATGAGTTTATCCAAGACAAAATAAGCAATCTTCCCTTCCTGCTTTGCTTGTTTTAACTTATGTATTTGTTCACGTCGTTTGACCATTGTGGCTTCGGCAACATCTCATTTACATAAATAACCAGACGGTTTATGTATTCTGGCCTGTTTGAGAACATGTTCCTTCTCTTTCCAATCATACAAACGACATACAATCGGTCTAGGAGCATTTCTAGGCGATCCATCCCGTTTAGTAGAATAACCGACACGATGCGCTCTTTCGATGCGAGGCGCAGATGCTAGCCCTAGCTTCCCTTTAAGGACAGACTTAACCATTGCCTCCGAGTCATCCCACGTTTCGCTTCGCTTCTCCGGAATGCCGGTTACTCGTATGTTGTTTCTTCTACTTCGGTTTTCTAAATCAACTGTCTTTGTAGAATACTTATCAAGGGACATCTTGATATTTGATATTTCATTGCTCATAGATTGAATCTCGGATTGATTTCTGTCAAGTTCTTTCTGTTGTGAGGCTATATCTTTCTGCGAGTATTCTAAGCTGTATTTTAATTCAGCTAAATCTTTTACCAACCCATCTACTCTTGATGTAGTAGATTTAATCAGAGAGTCGATCATTACTTTAAAGGCGTTTTCTTGCTGCGCCATTAATTCTTTAACAGTCGATAAGGATATATACTCGTCACCGCCATCTCGGTAGTTATATTTTGAGATTTTGGTTTTGATTTAGGAGGCATTTTTACGAATATAGGCGGAGCTCAATTTCGCACGTCTGCTCGTTGTGCCTGACTGATAGTTTTTTACTAATGTCGCCTTCTCTTTCCTGGTTTTGTGAAGGACCGCTGGGATCAAATTGAATGGGAAGAATGCGTACGCATTTAAGTTCGTCCAGTTCATGGTGAACGCGCCCACATGGATCGCACCCGGATCTGGGGCCGGTTGTATCAAAGGCGTTTAACTCGCTAACCACCGTTTAACTCGCTATCCGCCGGATAAAATTTAAACGCTCGAGAAATCGCGTTGTATCAAGCCCGTTTAGGGCTATCCACCGGTTAAATTTTGCCTATCCACCGTGTAAACTTATACGGTCTCTTGAGACCGTTTAAATCGCTATACGGCGGATAAACTCGGAGGTTGAAGATAAAACAATGATTATTTCGGATGAAAAAGCATGGGATAGTTATAAAAATGCACAATCATGTGGAGGAGTTATCTTTTTAAATCCAATAAACATGAAAAACTCACTTTTAACTGGCTTGGTCTTGAGGTACACTGAGGTCACGTGCTCACTTGTATTAAATTCCGTGGCTTTGCCTTTGCTATATTTACACACACCAGTGTCATGTTTAGATGTTAAGTATATATACTCTGGCTTTTTCTCCTTCTTTTCTTCTATTACATAGTTTGAAAACAAGCAGTAAGACTCCCAATTTTAGCTATTGTAAAACAAGCAATGACTTTGGAAAGCCAACAAGTATACAAAATAGACAACAAGACGCCGAAAGTCGAAAAAAAATTGTTCTCTCGCGTTAATCGCTTTGATCAGCCAATCAAAACTTGGGACAAAATGTTCTTAAAATTGTTTTGAATAAAAGTGCAAGGTCGAGGAACAAATTTCAAACAGTATAAAACTGAATCAACTAACAAAAGCCAAATACAACTCACAGTTTTTGCTATTGCCTTCGACTCTTCGCATAAAGAAGCCAAAAATCTTTAAAGAAATATCCGTAAGTGAATTTAAGTGAATGAGAAACTCAGCACAATGGGAAAATGAAAAGTTTGATATAGATTTGCAGCAATGAATGGACGAGCAAACTCCAAATAAAAACAACAAAAGCTTAGTGGAATTCACAAGTTAGATAAAGCTTCAAAAGTTTACAAATGCCTAGCAACAGTTGACGTAGAGGTAAGAAGTTTCAAGAAAATCCGGTTTTCTCTGGTTAAATTCAAGGTTATCCTACGGATAGTTAAACGCGGTACTAAACGGGCTTCATACAACGCAATTTTATCGGCCGTTTAACTATCCGCTGGATAAGAAATTTATACACTGGATAGCGGCTAAACACCGTTTAAGTTAAACGCCTTTGATACAACCGGCCCCTGGTCGCCAGCTGACGTAACGGTTCAGCTGACGAGTCAGGCGGGAAGCAAAGAGGTCTATCTGGCACTTCTTGATGAATTACCTGATGACTGTCGAATCGATTTTCCAGTCGTTGTGATCCCTCATTTTGCGCGATTCTTCGTCCGCAACAACATTGTTCTTTCCCGGAACATGTTGAGCCAGTAGATAAAGGCGTTTTGTCTCGCACCAATTCCATATCTCCAATGTTAGCTGCAGTAACTGATGCGAGTGGGTCCCTACCTTGTTGTTCAGATATGCTACTGCAGTCGAATTGTCTATCTTCAGACAAATCACCTTGTTGATCTGATCCTTCGCGAACGACTTCAGGGCAAAGAAGGCTGCCTTGAGTTCCAGGATGTTTATGTGATCCTGGGCGGACTCGTGGGTATTCCACCGTCCTCCAGTCTGACATTTCACCCAGGATGCTCCCCAGCCTATTTTGGAAGCATCTGATGAGATTGTTAGATCGGCAGTTAGAGGCAGAATGGGACTTCCCCCAGCGATGGTAGATTGGTTATCCACCAAATAAAATCCAATTTCGCCTTTTTGGAGAGGTTCACTTGTGTGTTGTAATCGGACGTCTGATCTAGAGACTATCTGTACAAGTTGAATGTGACGATAATGTAAAGGGGCGGACCAAATCGCTAGGCGAGTGAATTCTAGGAGCCCCAGGACCCGTGATATTTGCCTGATGGAAGGCTGATGTGTCTTCAAAAGATACCGACACTCTCTTAGAATATTTTCTGATTTGTCCTTTGGCAAAATAAATTCCATCGTTGAGTCTATGAGCATCCCCAAGAGACTTTTTGTAATTGATCAGAAACCCTAATGATTCCAGTAGACTTATAGTCATACGTGTGTGTTGGTTTAATGTTTCGATTAATGGGGCTAGCACGAGTATATCGTCTAGAAAAATAATCATTCGAAGTTTCGAACACCCTGCCCGCGCAGCCAAGCTATTACTGGCTTCATCAATTTTGTAAACACTCTCGGTGCAACATTCAGACCAAACGGCATTGTTACGAATTGGTAAGACATTCCTTGCCATAGGAAGGAAAGAAATTTCTGCGAGGTTTGATGTATAGGAACGGTTAGATATGCATCTGTCAGATCTATATTTATCATATAATCCCCCTTTTTTATGAGGGATTTTATTATCATGTGATTTTCTATTTTGAAATGTTCTGTCTGGATAAATTTGTTTAGAGGGCTTAGATCTAAAACTGGGCGTTGACCACCACCTTCTTTGGCAACTAAAACGCTTGATCGCGCCTTTGTGTAACAACGCTTCGATTTCCTCGCTTACTAACTTGCAATTTTGCAACGACGGGCGAGGAACAGTTTTTTGAATAGGAGGACTGTGAAATTGAATTTGATAACCTTGAACGATTTCTAAAATGGTAGAATCTTGTGTTATATTTAGCCAGTTTTTTATGAAGAAAGAAAGGCGCCCCGCTAGTGGGAGCTGTTGTTTTGCTTGCCTCGAAAGGGCTGCTGCTGGAATTGAAATCTGCCCTTCGCCTGGTGAGGGTAGTGATTTGGGGCGAAGGGAGTCGGGCGAAAATTTTGGTTTTTTGATTAGTATTTTTTCAATTGTGTTTTCGACCACGAAGATGTTTGTGGGTGCTGTTGATTCAGTTTTTTGTAGATTTCTAACAATGTCAGCACTATCAGCTGTTATTTTCGTAATGTCCTCGCCAAACAACTGCTTTCCTGCGTTTGGAAAAGGGGGTTCTGCAAGCGAATTTTTTTGCCGGATTTATAGCGTATAGAATCTTAGTTCTACGCAACACCGAAAGGGAATTTGCTGCATTCCCTAGCAAACAAATGGCCCGTTCAACAAGGCTTAACATTTGATCATGTGATAATTCTTGTTTGCTTTCTAGCAGATCATGCATGGAGGGCTGTCAATGGAGCCCCCACGTTTAGGACATGTCTCTGAACCCGTTTATCAGTTCTTTATCACGGTTTTCAACCGACTTTTTATAATTTTTTTGAATTTGATCCGCGATAGGTTTATCAAGTTTTGGCGTTGTAAACACGTGTAAATCAGGAAGAGAAGTTTCTTCCAAAATACTAAAAATTTGTGATGAGGACAGACTGCGACGAAAATTCGTCTCTAAAAATTATTTAAATACCGTAGAAGGCTCCCAACTAGGAGCTTCAGTCACAGGATCAAACGGTAAGTTCTTTGCACTATCCTGGCTAGGCTGGGTTTCAACTTGGGAAAGGTTATTTCCGCCATCGCCATTGTTGTTTTCTGATAAACAAGTGGTGTCATTGTTATGACCTTGGGTGAGCGATTTGCTCGTTATGTTGCCAACTTTGTGGCTAAAATGGGGTCCAGGATTACTGGACTATAACTTTCTATCTCTGCGTCCGGTGGGACAGCAATAGAAAGCTGATCTGAGACATCTGTTGCCTGTTGGTTCAGGACAACTAGTGTCATCTTGTTCGGCTGTCATATTGTCTGTGTCTTTGACCCGCGCAGATTCAAGGCTTGTCATGCGTTCGTTGAGTTTCTCTGCTGTAGAACTGATCGTAGACATTTTGTTTAAAAGTTGTTCTAGTATCGGGGAGTCATCATCCCCATGGTTTGTAGGTGAATTCGATCGTCGACGCTTCTTAGATCTTTCCGATCGATGCCGTGATTTGGCAGGAGATTTTGAAGCGTCTTTACTTCTTGATCGTGAACGTTTTCCGCTAGAACTCATCCTAGACCAACCATATACGTTGGAAAAATATAAATTTTACTGAAAGAAAAAAGAAAGGTGCAAAAAACTAGGATAAAATTGCACTTACCTTAAAATACAGCTGTAGCTCCTTCGCACATTTGAAAAAAATCGAAGATCGTAACCTGGGGTAATCCCTTATATGGTGCTTACTACCATATATGGGTTGGGGCTTCCCGCGCTTTCTTTTTTCTCACCCACTGCTTTTAATATGTGGCTCCTTCGCCAGTTGGACTACGTCATACCGTAAGTATTCCATACATTTCGACCGGAGTGTGAAGTATAATAAGGCCACATAAAAAAATAGTTGGTTAGCGTCCTCGCCCGCCCACAAAAAAGCCCCACTCAAGATTATTTTTTATTTTTTTATATTTAAAAAAAAAAAAACTTTTATTGATCAACGGGCACTAATATATGTAGTATTTCTGTAGACTGTAGTGAATTGTGTTCATGAATTGCGAAATTGGAGCATGGAAAATTTGATCGACAACATACAGCGTTGGCTAAGACGGAACAAATCGTCACGTGAATGTCACAAAAGGGACTCCAGAGATAGAGAGCGAAACGTGTATACACGGCGAAAGGGAGACAAGAATGGCAGAAGAGTGTTCAGTGCGTGTTTTGTAAGTCGGACCACTGGAGGGACAAGTGTAAATCGTGTGTTACTACGGAGCAACGGAAGAGGTTCTTCGTTGAGAATAAGTTGTATTTCAACTGCGCCTCACCTGGACATAGAGGCAATGAGTGTCGTAGTCGTGGATACTTTCACTGTGGTGTGAAACACCATTCAAGTTTGTGCACCCAAGATAAGAGTGGTTCCAGTGTTGATCGGATAGACGGCAATTTCCGGGATCATGGAGATTGAGTTGACCGGGGTCCAAGCTAAATGATTTCACTACGGTAAGGCGACCGGACATGAACAAACTAAAACATAAATACAAGCATACCAAAGACAAGAGGTTCTATATATGAGTCCAGAAGGGAAGTGCCCCATCCACATGATCCTTGGTGACAAGACCTATTGTAAGATTCGAACAGAGGAATTCTTCAAAGGTAACCCGGGAGATCCCATAGTGGAAGGATCTACATTTAGCTATGTCATTCATGGCGGTGATTATTCGAGTGAACAGTGCATGTTCACAAGAGATAGGAGAGATTACAAGTCTTACAAGAGATTATACAGCCTGGACGTCCTGAGGGTCGAAGACCGAAGCGAGAATGACGTAGTACAAATTTGTGACTTGAGATCTGAGATCAGAGCCTACAATGCGTGCTGAATCCTATAGTCGCTGGCGGCCAGTGGCGGGACAGGTGCCCAGCGACCAATAATGTAGCGTGAATGGCAAATGCATTTTAGAACATAACACAACATAGATATGTCATGTAATTGTAAAGAGATTGGAGAGAGATTGGAAACTTTGCTAAATTAAAGGATTTTAAAAGTTTCGTCACTTATGATTCTCTTACTGGCAAGAATAATAAATCTACCAGTATTGCAGAAATATCTGTTGATAATGACAGCGTGACCGAATCTTTTAATGAATATTTAGTAATTGTTAACATTGGACATAGCCTGTATAGCATCTGAAGCATATGGAAAGAGATCTCTGCTCAGCAGATGACTCACCATCATAAATCATAATCCCGGCCTTTTAATAGATATGACATTCTATTTTCATCATACTATAATATTGCCTTGGCACTGATGAATCATAAGCCAAACAAATCCACTGGCCTTGATAAAATTCCAGCAAAAATTCTCAGCCTCTGTACGGACATTATTGCTCCGTCATTGACCTAAATTTTTAATTTAACTTGAATCTGTGTTGATGAAATTAACGTACGCGAGTATTTCCAATTTATAAATCAGAAGATAGACGGAAATGCGAAAATTATAGACCAATTTCTATACTCCCTATTGGAAGTAAAGTCATATCCGAATAACATTCCAATCATATCCGAATAACGGAGAGTAGCAATATGTCTGTCATCAATTATCGAATCCGAAAACGATAATATGTGGAATTCTATTTCTACAAGGGTCTATCCTGGGTCCTTTATTATTCTTTTTATTTATAAATGAAAGACTTTCATGAGAAAAACATATATATTGATACTGCCTATTCAAAGGTTGGTGCCGGAATTGGCGCAATGTAACGAGACACATTAAAAATGACACTAAAAATGCTATATAATGCTATTATGCAGCCCTATTTTGATTACTGTAGCTCGCTCGAATTCAGATCTGGATTGATTGTGGAATTGGCCTCCAAGACAGGCTCCAAAAATATCAAAATCATGCTGCAAGAGTAATTGCTGGGTCAACATACGATGTGTCGATGTCCGATCCGCTGACTTACTTAGAAACCGGCTTAAATTCTAAATGGCTACACCACACCCATGCAATCTAAAAGAAGTTTTTCTTTTCAATAAGGAAAGGACAAATACTTACAATCTCAGAAATATAAACGGATTTAGTTTTTCCTATTCCAAAGAAAGAATTCGGCAAGAGGTGCTTGTATAGTGTTTGGTAACGTGGGTTTTAGTTGACTGTTAGCGCAAACGGTAAGCTTGGAAAATCATTATTTTTGAAACCGCGACGCGCTATTACACAGACACGATCAGTCAACAGTATCAGCCCTGGACTTGCTACAAGTCGACTTCCACCGTAACGCATTGCCATTGTAAGTTATCTTGTATTGTAAGGAGTAAAACGATTGAGAACGCGTGACCGTTGGCAGCTAGATAATACGAGCCGACTTGAAGCAAGTTTATATCAACCCAATTTAAATTCCATTGCAATTTAATACTATGTTTATTATTGTTGCGTAAATAACACACTCGAGCTCGTGTTCACTATTAGGGCAAACTGCCAGGCAAACTGCAACACGGAAACGTCGGAAAATTTCTTTCTTTATATTTCTTTGTGCTATATTATAAAACAAATATAGAACATTTTTTCCGTATTGATATACAGTTTTATTATATGGTAGAGAGTGAGATACTGAAAAATACACAGTGAGATATTTTCCATATCCGACACTAGTGAAGATATCGATCACGTGACTTTTAGTATTTATACAATATTTTGCTTGGGACAATATAATAAACAGAACATTACACGGTGGCCTGAAGAGACGACTTTTATCTTCTCGTATTAAAAATAATATTTTACTCACTTGCTGCGCTCGTTCGTATTTTGTTTTCACCATTAATTTAATTTAATTTAATTTAATTTAATTTAATTTAATTTAATTTAATTTATAATTTATCTAACTTTGCCTTGGTAACAATATTAAGAAGAAACATCAAATTA